TCCCTTCCTGATTATTTGCCGTAATAAATTTTTCAATTTTACCATAAATTTATCACCGTCTTAAGAATCGTAAGTGTTGCTTCGATTTCTTGTTGTATCCAGAATCTTTATAATGCAATCTGTAATATAACGACATGATTTGTACTATTTATTTTAGATTGATATTTTTTTTTGGAAATCAATAATTAAATATTTTACTCGGAAAACTACAGTCGACTATATCTCAGGCTCAACTACTCGATAAAATTTTGATATGCATCATGTCGATAAATAAATTTCCATCAACTTCGAAAACGATGTCACTTCAAGTTTCCGTCATTTGCTCTCGCTTTTTATTGGTCTCGGCGATAAAAGCAAATAATATAGAAATAGCGACGTACGCTAATCTCCAAGCGCCTAATGCAATGGAACGTGACGTTAATGTTAATAGCTTATCATCTTGAGTTAGCGTTAGAAGGTTCCGAGTTAACTGAAATACATTGGTGACGGTTGCGAACTTTGCGAACGTTTGGTCAGATGTAAAATCGGCGCGGCAATCGCGACGCGATTTTAATCCGCGCCCATCTTAATCGCGGGTGTGGCGGTCGCGCGTAATCGGCCCTTTAATTCCTGTAAAATCGAGGATAACGAGGAGCTTCGTCCGTTCCTACGTTCCTATCTGTCTCACTTGCTTTGCCTCTTTCCACTCTTTCCCATTCCCTTTCCATCCCGGTTCTCTTTCTCTCTCGTTCGTGTCTCCCGGTGGAGCCTAACCCGGCGCCACGTTCGCGGGTGCAGAGGCGATCGTTACACCGAAGCGTCATCAATCACCGCCGCGTCGGTTTAACTCGGCTACACGCGAGAGAGAGCCGGCTCGTGCACGCCGCGAACTACTTTCTTCCCCGTTCTTTTTTTCCTCTCCCCTTCTCCCTCTTCTTTTTACATTTCGTTACACGAAGGCGGAAAAAGGGAGCGGATGGCGCGAAAAAAAAAGCGACGAGAAATTGCGAAAAGCTGTAATCGTCGTTCCCAAATTCGTCCGTACCTTCCCGTTCGCGTGTTTTAATAGTAACGGTTTCTCTTGTTTATTCTCTTCTAAAAAGCCGTTGTTTATTACTATTATTGCACTTGTTTGTATACAACAAGTAAGTTGTTATTATGTATTACAATACGTATATTTGTTTAATAATGACATAATTATAATATAGAAAAATACAGGAAAGAAAATTAATTGTTTATAAAGTTGAAAAAACACATACGTCAACGAAGATTTATAAAAACTATGAGACTATGTTACTACAGCTACTGCTTCCCAAAATCTGATTTTTTTCTGAGGAAAAGTTTATAATATTTATTTTATCTTTATTCTACCTTTCTCTTTCTGTTTTTTCATTTTATAAAAATCTGATAATCAAACATCAATATACATTATCCGTATCGACAATGCCTTATACAATTGAAAATATCACATGTTGTAATTACAACTATATAAAAAACCTGATATAATTTTTAGAGTATTTAGAGTATTTAGAGTAATTTATATAATTCATCATTATTGCCATTTTACGCAACGTTCTGTCAAGAATTGGAATATTAATAAACGTTAAGAAATCGCTAAAAAAGAATAACTTTTTTTGAATATAAACGAAGTAAGTGTCGAGAATAATCATGATAATTTTAATGTGATTTCGAGTTGTTTGTATCGCTCTCTCAATGAGTAGGCACTCGATCGGTGACAGTTACAAATGGGAATACAAGTACGTCGACAAAATCCTACGGATAGCGACACACGAGAAAGATCGGTGTAAGCGTTCCTCGTGAGAAAAATAACGATGAAGAGGCTTACCGTGTTGCGATATGACAAAAGCCGAAATATAGGCTGAATCATTTGGCTTCTTTTCAATTATACGCCACGTAACAACAACGTCTCTCTCTCTCTCTCTCCTTCTACGTCTCTCTCGTACTCTCTACTCTCTCTCTCTCTCTCTCTCTCTCTCTCTCTCTCTCTCTCTATCTATCTATCTTTTCTGTTTCTGTTAGTTAGCAATCTCTGCCTTTCCTGCGTTTTCTGTCGTGTCCTCGTAATAAATATAAAAGTACCCCGGCGGGCCAACGGGGTTCGTATAGCCGATAGTAACACGGCTGCTGCCTCGTTGGTGGAGGAGGAGGGTAGTTGCGCGAGGGAGGCGTGGATAGGGCGCCGGTATATTATTTGGCGGGGATCCAGCCGGCCGCGAGGCTCGCCTCGGTGCTTTCATCTTAGGCATAGTCATTCTCCTCTCTTTTCCTCTTTTTTTTTTTTTACTCGAACAAAAGGACGTTGTATTAGCGAAGCTCGGCGGACAGGTGAACCGTGGTGTATCGACGACGTACCGTTCGTCCGGATTCTCTTGATTTTTATGTTCTTTCCCGTGCACGATGATTTGACCATCCTGCCGATGGCATGCTACATCGTCGGTAGGATAAAGCCCAGTTTGAAAAGCTCAGTTTGATGTTAGAGCGTATTGGAACGAAGGAAGAGGATCGCCTTATAATGTGTGACGCGAGAAAATAAACAAGATAACAATACAAGATACAATTTATTTTCTATAATTTTTAATACTCCGACTCGAATCGTAATTCGAATGCGCGATGCGGATTCGAGCAACTATCGTCGTTCGCGGCATTGTTAATTTCGAGAAGACCTCGGAGAGATCTGTCTTGCATCGCCGAGTTTGCTTTCGCCGAGATCAACGGGCGGTACGCGGTACCACGACGGTACGTGGAGCTTCATCGGGGCCCGTGTTACGTTCGGATTTCCGGGTTGCAACTGGCGATGTTAATGCACCGCGTGCAGCATCGGTAGGTACCGGCGCGGCGTGCGTACCAGGGAATGCATGTGCAGCGCAGCGCATAGATAACCGCGCGTAGCGTGCGGTATGACTCGGCGTGGCATCGGCGTGGTGCGGCGCGACGTGGCGGGGCGGGCGGGCGGGCGGGCGGGCGAACTCGGCGAGGCAAGCGGAAAGCGAGATAGAGAGACGGGAGAGAAGGAACGTGGCCCTCTCTCGCCACGTGGGAACTGGAGCAATCCCTGCATACGGAGAATGCCTGACGGTGAAATTGCGACGGAGGGACCGGAGTTCGAAGACGAAGACGACGATGAAGAGGAGGACCTCGAGGATGCGGCGCGGCGGTACGAACAGCGGGCACCCTCTCCATAAATCACGGAGAACTGGTAGTCGCGCACAGTAGGTGGAACAATGTCCTTTCCACATAGCTACTGTGCGTTATGTGTGTGTGTGTGTGTGTGTGTGTGTGTGTGTGTGTGTGTGTGTGTGTGTGTGTGTGTGTGTGTGTGTGTGTGTGTGTGTGTGTGTGTGTATTTGTACGGCGTCGACTTTACGAATCGCGTCGATCACCGTGAAATCTGTCATAGATCACACGATAAAAACGACTGAATAAACCGATTTATTCCACATCACTAGTCAACGCCTATGGAAATCCATGTTTGCTATTCAGCTTTACAATACGCAATAGTAATAAAAAGCCTTAGTCTAACCCGAAAAAAACTTTAGAAGTAGTAAATTGTCTTATTTTCATACGATTATTTGTATTTTTGGACAACTAAGGTAAAATAATTCACTCACAAATACATTTATGATATATTCTGGAAAAAATTATATCTGATTACTATATAATATGTATATAGTTTTAATGCATGTTATATCTACTGAATTTTTTTGGATATTTCTTTATTTTATTATAATTCGGAAAAAACTGTTTTCAGATATCATTGATTTTCTTTCTGGGATTTCTCGAAATAATCTTTTAGCCTTTCAGTATTCAAATTCAATTTTTCAAAAAAAAAAATCTTCGTTTATTTTAATTTTATTAATTGTCCTCAAATCTTCAAATTTATTTTATTATATCACAAATTTTAACAAAGGTGTGATAAGCGCATTAAATGCAATCTATAATGCATCCGCATTGTGTTAAATTTCTCTTGCTAGTATCGAAATATATTCTGCACGTTTTCTATACACAGGATATAATGCAAAACAACAGTAGAATAATATTATAACAAAACAGCTGCTTTTTCGATTATGATTATGCCAGTGGACTACTATAAACTTTCTTTCACCAGCGCTCCTTCCGTTTCTCTCGCCGTCTCGACATTATTAATGATCGCGGAAACCACCCTAAAGATCTCTTACGAATGTATGCAATCTACTATACGCGTGCGCGCGATACGCATTTTTTGATCGACACTGATGAATGGCGACTGAACCGGTACCGGAACGTTCTTGTCCCGTTGCGGGGAGAACCGGAGTTCCGCAGACGCGCGGGATGATTTAATACGCTTGCAAGCGACACGCTGCTGTGATCTACGAATGCCTCATGGGTCGATAGAGAGAATAGCGATTTTGCGAACCGTTTGATCGAGAGAGAAGAGAAAGGGTATAGACACATGCAAGATTTATAGATATTTTTCATTGGTTACAAAAGCAAATATAAAAAAAACGTTCTGAGCGAAGAGAAAGAGACTTTTGCTCTTTGGAAAAACTTATTTGAAATTCGACATACGTATTTATTATAAATGATACGACTGAATATCAAAGTAGGCACTCTTGTTACACAATGCATCGCTGTATAATATTTCGATCGCTTCAAACACGAATAATCGCATCGTCGATAATCTCTTACACGTGAAAATTTAGAATCGAAACATTTATTTTGAACCTTTATTTATTTATTTTGAACCGTTTGGTAATCTCAAAAATTTTTCTGTAGTTTCCACTTAATCATATTGCTTGTCATCTCAGCGCTATCTTTTTGAACAGTCATAATGTTTTGAAATAGAATTTGGGACAGAGCTTATCGATTTATCAAAACTTGTGAAAAATTTTAAGCTATTATTATACTTTAGCTTACAACTATTCGAATCATAATTATTATTAACTATTCAATCTTAGTATATTAAAATTAATTTGATGTATTAAATTTGAACAATATTGAATTTTTATATGTCACGACAAAATTTATCATTGGAAAATATTATATATTAATATAATTAGGACAATTAACAAACAATTTAAAAGATCGCAAGCTTCGATGAATTAATATTTGTCTTTCAGAGCGGCAACTTCGGTTTCCAATTCGGTGAATTTTCTCGAGAGTTCTCGGATCTGTTCGCTTAAACCGGTCACAGTTTGCAGTATGTCGATAGAACTGACTTTGCGATCAACGCATTTGTGTAAAGCGTTGTCGTCAACATCGGTATTCGGCTCATGGGCGAGACATTCTTCAATCAGTAGATCGCTGCTGCCCCAATCTTGAACAAAACGGATGTGATTGCTACCGAGATACCACGTCATCGAACGGCGACACCGATATGACCACGGATTACTAGCGAGATAGATCTGTTTGAGTTTTGTCAGCTTTTTCAGCAATTCAGCGGGCAGACAAGCGGTCATCTCATTATGCGCGATATCCCAGATCTCCACATTCGGCAACAAATCATATAATTGTGTATCGACTTCGGCGATTCGGTTTCGCCACACGATAAGTGCCTTAAGATTCGTCAAATCTTGAATCCACGACGAGTCCAATTTACGGATTCTATTGTCTACCAAACCTAACACGCGTAGTTTGCCGAGACCCCGAAACGCATTAGGTTCGATCTCCTCCACGCCACATCCGGTGATATTGAGTTCTTCCAGAGAATCGCCATGCATCAAGAATGCATCCGTCGGTATCTTTTTGATATTCGAGTTCTTGATATTGATGCCTACCACTCCTTTGGATAACTGTGAGAGTGGCTGTAATTAAATACATATGAAAATACGAATGATGATACGAACGATTAATGAATGTATTAACCGATAAAGTCATATAAAAAATTTAAAAACAGACTCCGTAATATATAAAATTATTTTAAAAACTGATAATTATTAATTTAATAATTGAAGAAATATTCTATTTATACGTATTTTCAGTGTTGCTCAAATTTATTTTAGAAAGCGAAGCCAAGAAAAATTTGTGTTAATTAAAGAAAAATTCCGACAAAGAAAAAATTTTAGAAAAAATATTCAAAATTTATATTACGATGTATAATACCTGTAAATTTGTAAGACCTTCGCACTGGTAACAATTTTGACGTCCATGCAAATCTGGTTGACAGTCAGCTGAACATGCAGCCAGGATTGTTGCGAGGACGAACAATTCTAGAATTCGCTTCATCACGATGAACTTCTCAGCGAATCTGAATCTGATTATTTTCGAGTTCGCTTCTTATAGCCAATCTCAAGGCCGTATAGAACATTATCAGCGATGTCGGGGAAAAATAATAAGTGAGCAGGGAAGTACCGACGGTTAAAACCAGATGCAAATATGTTGCGATGCATATTAAACTCCACATGCGAATGATTCACACGACGTTCGCCAGATAATCAAGTGTTATCTGCAGTTGACTTATGTTATTTATATGAAAACCGGTTCACGGTTCACGGTTTTGATGAACAAACAATGATACAAGTATGTATATAAAATTTAATTAATATAAAAAAAAAGTTTTTATAAATCTATTTTACGAATTTATAACTTTAGAATTAAAATATGTAAAAATAACTGTTATTTTTTTGTGATTTATATAAATAACGAGATAATATCTATCGATATATAAATATGAAATAATAAAATTATTTTCTACAATTTCTTTATATATTTAATACATTAACTTTTTTATATTTAAATTTATTTAAATAATAAATGTTTATTTATACGTTACATTATTAGTAGTTTTTTAAATTATTAAATTTTCATATGGTTTATATTATATAAACTATTTAAGTTTTGCAAGTGAATATTTTATTTAGTGGCTGTTTTTAGAACAAGAAAATGAAGAAATATCGGATATCAATTACAAAAGTTAGCAGAAGCCTGGTTTACCTTGCTAGGAGTTGCCAGAGATAGCGATTGCCTAGGGCACCTGTGCAATCGTTTCTGTATTCAGATTTGATATGCAGACGACGATAAGGGAACAGATATTCTCTTCGATTAGGTAATTAGAGGATCTTATTTGTGTTTATTTGTGATCATTCGCGTCTTTGATAAAAGTGATTCGAGAGCGTAAAACCGGTTTTGCCGTACGAGTACGAAAGTGATCACGATGATTGCACTTTGATGTGCTTTATAAAGCCCCTTGTTTCGATCAGCCTCTTGGCGAATCGTTAGCGCATATCAAATTTGCGGTTTAGAAAAATCGCTACATCTTAAATAGCTACAGCGGCGTGTCTTTGCTGATGTCATTGCCTTAGAGAGAGATAATTGATCGCTCGAGGCGATGTATCCATGACATCAGATTCCATTTCTGCTCTCTTCTAAGAGCGTCCTCCACCTCCCAAATTCTATTTCGCGAACATTTTGCTTCGAGTTATCGTAAATACCGAGGTATCGAGCATGAAGGGGATGAAAAAACTGTTACGTAAAGACTTCCATGTTCTTCGATATAACACTGTTTATGTGACATTTGTTTAATTATTGTTTGTCATGATATTTATGAATTCGGTTAATGCATTTATTATATACAATTTCTTGTTTAATTTTATATGAAATATTTCAATCATATTTCAAATTTCTAAAATATTTTCCATAAGACATTTTTTTTTTAAATGCTATTTTTCCATCATAAGATTTGACAGGATTTAGGAAATAAAGATGGCGAGAACAAGGAAATAAATATCAGAATTTAAGATATATATTCAGATTAAACGAACTCTGTAGACAAAATCTGTACGGGTGCGATTTTGATAGATCTAGATAATGAGCCGGTGTAAAATTAGGAATTAAATATTTCTCGCGGGACTAAACCCGTTGAATTATGCCGTGCCGTCGATACATTCGGCAAGAATTAACACGAGAGCAATTACCTTTGTCACGCGCGACTCTCGCCTCCCATCCCCGCCGCCTCTTTCCCCTGCAGCAGTCGTAATTACGGAGTTTCGAACGTTTCGGCGGGTTGGCGCTTTCGTGTAATGTCTTCATGCGGGCGCGCGGGCCGGCCCGCGGCGGGATTTGCGAGGATAATAACTCGCGGGCGCGCTGATCGAAATATTAAAGGAACCCCTTGTTCGCGCGATAATGCCTACGTGCTTTACGGACGTTAAGCTCCGGCTCGCGCGAATTGCACGGTGCCACCGCGTAATAATAAAGCCGGTTGGTCGGTCGGTTGGCTGGCTGGTTGGTTGGTTGGTTGGTTGGTTGGTTGGTTGGTTGGTTGGTCGGTCGATCGGTCGTTTCGATCGCTCGCACAAGACCATTCGACGATGGTACATATGTGATGCGTATGGTAACGGCGTGTACACGTGCATTTGTCATTTCTCATGCGATCGAATAAAGACGTGCGCGCGTGCGTGCATAGATGAGTATCTCTAACGACGAATAACTACGAAACGCGTGACGCGCGCGTACGTTCACCTCCGTCGAGATGCGATCTTACGATTAATAACCGGAAAGCTGTCATAATTACAACCGAGACGCGCCGCGGGCTCTTGATTATCAGCCGCGAACTCCGCGTGTGCAGCGTAGCTCTAGAATTCAGAATTTTACGTCGTCGACGCGCGAGATGTGTACAGGGGTACTCCAAAGTTGTCACTTCGTCTGCTTCTTCGTCCACGATCCGAGTACGATGAGATCCTGAGGGTAATACGTTACAAGACTAATGTCGTATGTACGTGCCGCGAACACGCCGATAATAAGCGCATCGCGACATCGAAGAAAGGTGTTAACGCGTGCCATCCCGGCGGCGTTACTTCGTTATACACACGTGGGGGAAGAGAGAGGAAGCATGCAAGCTATAACGCGACGTGCATGCACGAACTCTCTTGCATACATGCATAAGACTGCACATACTCAGCGCGACGGCAAATCGTAATGCTGTAATAATGGATGCACCAGCAACAGTTGTCCAGCGGTGCGAGGGGGGGTTCGGCGGGCAGAGGGGAAGGGGGGAAGGGATGGAAAAGCCGATGGAAGGGGGCAGAGGGACAGAGGGGAAACAGAGAGGTCCGATAGGGGAGCGAGGCCCACCCCCCTCACCCTCCCTGTTGCTTTCAAGCGCGAAGCTGCGCAATTTGCGTGTAAATATTTCTGCCGGTTTTTACACCGGGCCGCGTGTACACTTTACACTAAGCGCGTATTAACTCCATAAAACGCGGGAGAACAACCGGGCACCGACATACACTCGCCGCCCATTCCGCAAACACGCGCGCACGCACGAGACGGAATGCATAATTTATCGGAATACGTCGCGATGTTTTACGCCCGGTCGATAGTCGCGCTCGATTAGTCGCGGCGAGGGTCACGGAAAAGTTGGCATAATCGCGAAGATAAGCAACGTCGGAACAAGGAATCCGCGCCGATAACGCGCGTTAATCATCGTCGTGTAATTTCTACGCTTAATTATTGATTATCAATGTGCATTCACTCGTATCGAAATCTTACTTTCGAAATTAAAGTTTCATCACGCCCGATACGATCTGGGCAACATTTGCGAATTTTCCTTCATCGTGGGAAATGTTTTCGCGTAATACACGATCTCGGCAGTCAATAATGTCGTAATATCGTCGATAATGTTGTAAAAGTTCGGAACGTATTTCGAAAAAATTTCTACCGCTCTCCGAGATCGGATATTCCCTCGCGTAACGATTCGCGTGTCGGCGCGGAAAGCGTGCTAGGCATTAGCCGCGTGCCCTGTAATCGTGATAAAGCGATATTTAAAGGCTCGCTTTTGATGTTATTTTTTTACGTTTATTACATCATAACGCGCAGGTGGAGGGGAGGCGAATTGCCGGGCTACCGATAAGGTCGAAATGGCATATCAGCGGCGTCCCGTCGTCCTGTCCCGTCGACGCTTTATTTGCTTGGTATAGGTCACGTTCTTTGCCCACCAGACACAGGCAAATGTTTACGCGCACTTGGGGGTGGGATAACGTAACGCGTTAAACTGATACGCGACGGCGGCGTACGAAACGATACGACGGCGGCGGTGGCGTATGGATTATACGACGTCGTAAACGAATCCTGGCAGTGCGGAACGGCGAACGGTGTCTGCGTCGACGTGCACATGCACCAGACGCACGTGCGTTTCGTATGAGGATATAGAGAAACGGAACGAAAAAGAACGGGAGAGAGGAGAGACATCCGACGAAATTTGCGTCGCGGATGCATTTTATTACGACGTTCAATCGTTAACTCGAACGGTGGAACCTATTCGACCCCGGCACACGCTGTGAGAATTTTAATTATCCTTGAACTCGCAAAACCCCCCCCGGGAAGTCAGATGTTTAAAATGTATTTGTAACCGATTCGATTATCTCCGATTATCTTGAAAAAAGAAATAATCTATTACGTACGTAATAGATACGTTTTTGATAATCATTTGCTTGTCGTTTATTACCTTTTTTTTCAATATTGTTCGACATAGTGCGCTGACTTCGCGAGTCGCCAGCAATTGCCAGGGACTAAAGCCGAAAGTCGCGCAGACATTTACACGAAAATAGATTATTGGAAAACCGTTCAGGAACGCTTAAGAATTTCGGCGGCACCGTGCCGCATGGTGCACGATGAGTAAAACGAAAATGACGAGGCGGCGCGATAACGGTTTGTGAGAAAATTCGGCAACCTAGTATATAGTGGTAGTTCAGACGAGGAATAGTATGAGGATAGATGCTTCGCGAGCGAGAATTCGCTGTGTGCCCTAAAATAACTGCGTGAGTGTAACTTATGTGAAACGAAAAGTATTGTAACTGTATTGCCCGTAAAAGGAAAAGCGAAAGGTGCAAATAAAATTTCTCCGAAAAATATTATTTCCTTAAAGAATGTGTTTGGATGATTAAATGAAAGGAAAAGAATCATATAATGATACTGGTAATGTATACTGGTATGTTTATGAAAGTAAATATTATTAAATAAACTGCTAAGAATATTGGTTATTGTTAATGTAAATTTTGTAAATAGGAAACATTTTCAACAATATTATTATTTTAAGCAATCTTTTTTGAAGAGGATTATTTTATGTATGTGTGTGTCTAATATATTAATGATATAATTAAGAAATATTTTATATTTTATATTTTCTATTAATATATAGATATATCTTTTATTATTTTTTTAATTTATATCTTTATATTTTATCCAATATTTTTCTCACGTATATTAATAACATAATTATATTAATATATTATATATGTATTACTTTTAAGTTACTGGAGAACAGTGCGTAGTAGCCGCAGGAGTGTACCTGAGGAACATTTTTTTTGCGCAAGGATGCTCCTCTCA